CAATAAACGTGAACAGATAATTAGCAATTAGCACAAAAATTAGCAATCTACTTCTCTTTTTTTATTCAGAAAAGTAGTCACGTTTAAGGCATGAAAAATGGGATTATGTTAATAATGTAAGAGTTAAAGGTGGGTATTGCAGAGAATTTTCATATTGCGATATATTGCAATGTGAAAGCATGCATTGCGATATGTATTGCACTATATTGCATGAAGTACTTTTAAACCAAAAACTACTTATAATCGAGTTAATTCTTGATTTATAGAGCAAAAACACAACAAAATCACTAGACTTGATTAAGATTTAATGACAACTTTTAATCATGATAAAATAAAAATGTGAATAATATTTGGCACAAATGAAACAAGGACATAGCCGAAGATTTCCGAGTGTTACGAAGTTTTCCGAATGCAAGTCAAAATACCGGTTTTCGAGCAGCGTATCGCAATACGTATCGTTTTCATGTCTGAACCGGTAAACCGGTTATATTGCGCAGCCCTAGTAAGAGTGCATGAATGAATGCATATGGTTTTATGTTAGTAATAGTAATAATAAACCAGATGGTACTATATGGTATTCAGTATAAGGCATCACACACTATACCCATCATCAAACATTGCACCCGTGATGGGAATCGAACCCAGATCTTCGGGGCGATGACCCCCACTTGGCTACCCGACTGCCCATGATTACCACAGGGACTATGGTACTCCTGTTTATCTTTGAGAAACACCTGATGCAACACAACACCAAACTAACATTGGTCCTTTCCTTATATCCAATAACAAAACCAGTTATGTAAATGATGAATCCATTTAGCATTCTAGGTTGAGTGAACCGAGGCAGACAAAACATGTAGACAGCCATAAGTGGAACTGGTCAACTGGCTGATCTGCGCGCTGGATGATCACACTCCAGTCACAAAACAACAGCTCGTTTGTCACAGTTGTGTCCTACACAGATATTTATGATATCATTTACATAAAACCAACATAAACATAATAGTCAGACAGGTGTTCCCGTGAAGGATACGCTTCCAATGCTGAGATGGCTAACAAACAAATGTTATATCAAGTTATCCCGAAAAACCCTACCATGTTCCCAAGCAAAACTCTTAAACCATACCCTTTAGTCAAATTATTCCCCAAACCCTAATCTCCTCTTAAGCAACTCAAATTCCTATCGCCTACCCCAATTCAAAACAACCCCAAACCCTACAATATCCTCGAAAACAACCCAAAGCCATACCCTATCTGCCGAAACAACCGAGTTTCATAATTACTCAATTCAAAATAAACGGTTAAACAATGTAGGGAAGACAATGTCATAATTGTCTTATGCACCACAGACAGTCATTAAAACATATATCACATAGCTGTAGATCATTGATCATTTCCGATACTCAATCGTCTGCAAGAATTCATAAATCAAAGTCACATTAGTGTTTCTACCTTGAGTGAGTGAGTTAAAGTTTATGCCACTTTTAGCAATTTTCCAACAATATCATGGCAGGCGACATTAGAAATGGAATTCGCACATTCTACCCATGTGGGAATCAAACCCTAGTCTTCTGTGACAAGCAGACACTTTAACCACTTGGCTACCCCACAGGCCCTTTTCTACCTTGAAATGTCAATGTACCTTATGGTTTTCAATAACCATGGTGGGCTGGCATGACATTGTATCTTACACTGTCAGACAGGTGGATGAGTGCATTCTAATCAATGCCTTAATAAACCCATTTGGAATTAGAAAGAACTTGTAGAAGTGGATGATAAATGGCATGATTGGTCATAAAATTGTCTATAAATCTCCACACACAGCAAGCCTTCCATGCCAAGAAGTACCAAGGTTCCCCTGGTCACACACTACCCAGAACCTGTCCCATCTGAAGAGTTATCAGTGTCACAGAGTGACAGGCACGCATACCTAAATAGCTGTCATACTTGTAGCCTGAGGTGATAGACAAAATACAGAACCAAATATAAAACCCATCATTTACTGTCACGACAGTGTTTTAAAAAATGTGAGGAAAGTGGCTGTTGTTACAACCCTAATTTAAAAACAGTGATACAATACAATTGTTGTATAACACAAGGTTTCTACTTGAAACTAACACATGAATGTTAGTGAGGTCAGGTGAAATTGGGTTTAACGTCGTGCTTGAGAATATTTCACTCATATGACGACGTGCATGCGTGTGTATGTGTAGCTGCTTGTACTAGCCCAGACTTAGGCTGGTTTTATAGTGCCGCAGTGAAGCATGAATACCCCACTCAGACACATTATACTGACTCCGAGCTGACCAGTCCTCGTTGTACCCATTAATGCCGAGCGCCAGGCAGGGACCAACAAGTACCATATTTTAACGTCTTTTGGTATGACGCGGTCGGGGATCGAACCCGCGACCTTCCGCACTCCGGGCGGACGCTCTAACCACTACACCACGGAGGCGGTGAAACTAACACATGAATCAGAGCTCCAGATAAGATTTAGCTCAATTTTTTTGGAGTGGGTATTTTGAATGTTGAGTGGGTATTTCATTTTCCGTTACCCACTGATTTCAAATATGTGCGTATTTCAGTCATTTTACTCACCTAAGTATTATGTCATTGAGTAGGTTTACTAAGCAGGTATGTTCTGCCTTATGTCATACCTAATCAAAACCAACTTAAATATAATGGAAATGATTTCATAAAAACATTACTCATCCTATACTGACAGGACAACACTTGTCCTATACTAACAGCACAACTTGATAGCAATCGATGTCTTTTTCATTACGCAAGCGATTTTTTATAAATATATTTTGTACGCATTTGTTTGAAACTTTTTGCGTATCTAACATTTTAAATGCGTAATTGGTACGCAACAATTATTTTTCAATGCGTAATTTGAAATTTTCTATGCGTATTTTACCCGGATACGCAGCTTATCTGGGCCTCTGCATGAATGTAAGTGAGTGAGTGAGTTTAGTTGCTTTTAGCAATATTACCAATATCATGGTGGGAATACCAGAAATGGGCTTCACACACTGTACCCATGTGCTGAATCGAACCCAGATCTTCGGCGTGACGAGCTAACGCTTTAACCACATAGTCTAGGCTACCACACCGCCCCAGATGAATGTTAGAAAGCTTAGTTAGGTTATCATGGTTATATTACCATACATGGCAAGAACAGATTTGAAATTTGCTTCTTCAGTTTCAAGCATGAAACACTGTTGCAACTAAAAAAGAACATTGTAAACCTATTCAACCAAACAGCATGACTGCCCTATACTAACCTTCCGCCACTTTGTATTTGATTAATGTAACAAAGTTTTACTTAAGCATGTCATAACCAGATTATACACCCTCATATGTACATTCCAAGCAGTATGTGTAGTGAAATCAGGATTTTGTTTTAAGGACAATAAAGTTCTGATTCATGTGACTGTCAGCTTACTGTGACAACATGCAGTTCTAATATCTACTTCCTATCACGATGCCTTCAATGTAGTGTCATTTACTTTGTGATTAGATTACATTTCGACATCAACAGCATACACTACAAGTCCACAGCAGTCCCCAGCCTCATGAACAGGTGCACATGGCACGTTAATTTCAGCTCGGCTGGAACTGACAGATAGTCTTCTTGCATTCTTCAAGACGTTCGATCTCCAATAAGGAACAATTCATTTGCTTTCTCAAACAATAGTGTCCTTGAGTTGGGCTTGTGGATAAATACTTCGCTCGTCTCACTAAAGACCTCTGTTTGAGCCCTGATATGTGTACAGTGTATGACGCCCATTTCGGGTGTTCCCAACTGTGATATTTTTGTAATATTGACAGATGTATTTCAATATTCACTCTACTCACTCACTCTTCAATGATAAGATCCTACCTCTTCTGCTCCTTACACACTGGTCAAAGTGAACAAGTTTAGGAATTTAAATCACAGTACCAGTACTCACAAAATAAATTTAACTATCCAACTCTTTCTCATTAAAATATGTTGCTAGCATTTTCTGATAGAGTTCATAAAATCTTACTTGTTACCTGGGAATTTAAGACTTCTCTGTAGAAAACTTAGATTTTAGCACCCCCTGGTCAACCCAACTCCCAAAACTGACTGACTGAGTTTGGTTTTACACTGCTTTTAGCAATATTCCAGCAATATCACGGCGGGGGACACCAGAAATGGGCTTCACTCATTGTACCCATGTGGGGATTCGAACCCGGGTCTTCGGCGCGACAAGTCAACGCTTTAACCACTAGACTACCCCACCGCCCCCCAACTCCCTTAACCCCATATGACAGATCCTAAAGCTGTCGGCAGGAGACTTCAATAGAAGGGAATTATTATAAAATATGAATAATGACACAGATACCTCTTTCAACAAGGTGTGACATAACCAGCAGGATCATCACAATTATGTGTATGAACAGAAACTATAAATATTAAAGGATCACAGTCAGCTTGCCAGGAGTATTCTTGATGACAATAATTACCACACAGACACTGGGACCAGTTGACACAACACAATGTATTCAAAGTAGTGTTCAGCAATGTCTTGCGGTTCAATCAATATGTTCATCAAATTCGTGTATCTGTCAATACATCATTGTCAGTGATTAACACCTGTGCAGCTATCTCGTTATCCAGGAGCACAGCCCCAGAATCCCTGATTAGTGCATCTCACAGGTATATGAATGACATAATCGCCTCCGATACACTGAAAAATCATCAGGTGTCACAAGTGCCACGCCCCTTCCTACGATGACAGATGTAATACACTGAAACACGTACTGGGGCTTAAGGTGCAGCATGATGCCGATATTTCCTTACCTGTCAAATCAATCTGTTTGACATGCTACAGACATGAACGCATCGAGCCACATGCATTTATGATGGTGCCTTGTAGGCAGGAAATGCCATAGCCATGTAATTTGATAAATCTTGAAGAAAACATGTTCAGTATGCAAGGTGTAAAATATGAAACAATGAATGTACTCACATCAGAATCTGGGCCATGATCAGCTCCCGGGCATCCAAAGGACACAAACTCATGACATCTTTTATGCACCACAAAACTGCAAACTGCAGAGAGACAAATACATTATCATAACAGAGATGCCTGTCTGAGCTGTTAGGTAGCAATATGCAATCACATCCTAGTTAACCATAAACACTGTCGTCAACAGCTAACATCATTTGGCCAACGTAGCAAATAGCTGGTGATGAAATTGACAAGGATAAATTTTAGTTGACATATATTATAATGACAACCATTTCTGGTTATACAACCAAGCTTGCAGGCTTTCAGTTATTTGAAAATGCTGTTGGCATTTGGATGTTAATAATTTTGTTGTTGGCTGTGCAATATGTGTGTAACTTGAGGATGCCTATCTGCTACCTGCAATAGCGATTTGTGCTATATTTAACAGATGGTATTGATTTGTGATTGAGGCAGAAGATCGTGTCAAATATCAAGTGTAATAAGAGACGAACTCAAGATACAGTAAATGTCACGTTGTGATCTATCGGCACATTGAATATATGTGCAGGAGAGAGAGAGAGAATCGCATTGCAAATTACAGCAAGTGTATATATGTCCCTGCCGCTAGCATCACCACGCGGACTGAACGCTCGTGTTGATTTCAGACAGATAGTCGATGCAATGAACACAGCTCCTGTCAAACATTATACGACAGATTTTCGCCGAGTGCACAAAGTGTGAAAAACAAAGTTACTTACTTTGACACTGGAATCCTTGCTTGCCGAACCCCTTAAAAATACAAAACAGAGGTCTTGTTATGCGCATAAGATACACACACGATGAAATGCGAATCTTCTTCAGGGATAAGAAGTCACCCAAGTGTCGGAACAGCAGAGGCGACGAAAATAGTATGCCGTTCAGGCCAGAATTCTTACCAAATAAAATCCTTGCAATGGCTGCAGAAGGTCGGCTGCTTGAAAAATCTTGCTACAAACTTATGATCCTTAACTTCGTGTACATTTTTCTGTCTCAAAGCACCCCTTCGCTCAAAACGCTGCACTGCTTTCATAGACCCTTCCTTACCGTCCGCCATTTTGAACTGACAGTTTCGTCATCCTCGATTCCGGGCCCTGCCGATACGTATCCTGGTTCCGTGTGAGAGACTTAGTTACTCATATTACAGGGCAGATGATATTATCCATGTTCGGGAGTTTACAAAGTGAAAGTAGTAGGTAGTTTTGAGCGGAGGAATCTGGGCGACAAGGATGAATTATGCTAATAGGGTGATGTAATTTCGCCAAAGATAGAATTGTCGCGTTTCTCTCTTCTCGAGTTGGTCGCATGACAGTCCGCGCCTTGTAAACAGTAGCGGCATTGCGTGGGGAGTTGAGCGCTTAATGAACTCGATCAAGGAAATTTGCAATATGTTCGTAAATGACAGAAAATCGGAACCAGCAAATAGCACTTTGCTACTTCAAGCGACATTGGTATAGTTTATTCTCCGTAATTGAGGGAATAATCCGACACAGGAAGTCGGGATGAATCTTCAAGTGATTAACGATTTATCTTTTTTACCAAAAAATGATGAAAAAACCCCTCAAAATAAAAAAAAAAGGCTTTTGCGATTTTGTTCCACATTCTGCCACATTAACAGATACGCATATACTGGTAGATATCAAGTTTATAGAGAGATGGGGTTGATGATCACCTTGTCGGTATAATCATTAAGGGTTAAATGGCAGAGTTTGCAATGATGGAGCTGGCTTATGGTAGGCAATATTACCGGATAATTACGGAAAGCAAATAATTATTTAAATACGGAGCACCTTTGGAACGAGTGGTGGAGCAGTCAGCAGTGGCTGCAGACTTCACTCAATACCACAAGGACCCGGGGTCGATTCCCCACATGGGAACAATGTGTGAAGCCCATTTCTTGTGTTCACCCCCGTGATATTGCTGGAATATTGCTAAGAGCGGCGTATAAATAAACACACTCACTCTCTGTAATTTCTGGGGGAAAGCGAAATGGTTACTCATTCATTGGAACAATTACCTAATCAGCATTCATTAACAGGAAGCAAATTACACTATTTTATACCGGAGAGAAGCCCCATGGTATTAAATCATACAACATTTCTCAGCATGGCTACCCTTGCATCTACCACGTCTTACATTAGTGACATGGAAAATACTCTTTCTTGTGGACAAAAAACTGAAGGTGATTTCTTAGAGAGCAAGTAAAAGACTTTGAAGGGCATGCGATCGAGATGATATTTTCAGAAGTCGAAATTCTGCTTGGAATAAGAAGTGAGTGAGTATTATTTGTTGTTGCCAGGATACCGTTATATCACGCTGGCATAATCAAGAGTGGACAAGACCAGAAAGTAATGACGTTAACGAGGGCTCGCACCCCCCTTGGTGTATACGATTACGTGAAACGACCTTATCGTCTTTGTAGAACGCAGTCTTTCAAAAATAAACAGTGGCCTGATTAAAGCATACATCTATGTTAAATAACATCTAAAATGAAACACGGGCGGTGGGGTAGCCTAGTGGTTAAAGCGTTGGCTCGTCACGCCGAAGACCCGGGTTCGATTCCCCACATGGGTTCAATGAGTGAAGCCCATTTCTGGTGTCCCCCGCCGTGATGCTGCTGGAATATTGCTAAAAGCAGCGTAAAACCAAACTCAGTCAGTCAGCCAGTAAAGGAAACACAAAAAAAAGGTATTTCGATGGTGAAGTATGCGATGTCATACTTGTGTTTTGGACCTTAAGTTGAAGCGTTTTTAGCGAACAACCTTTTTGGTAACGTTTGAAATGTTTTGGTCAAATACAGTGTTGAGGTGCGTGCTTACTTTTTCTTTTCACGGTAGTTTATGCTTACCTAAGTCTTTTACGCCGAGGAACCGTTTTCGTTATTCTTGAGGATAAACGAATGTTGTTTGAAGCCACAGCAGCCAAGATTCCAGCATTAAGATTGATGAGTGAGTTAGTGAGTGAGTGAGTGTGGTTTTACGCCGCTTTTAGCAACAGTTCAGCAATATCATTGCGGGAGGCACCAGAAATGGGCTTCACACATTGTACCCATGTGTGGAATTGAACAAACACGTTTCGTGTAGTTCATTACAAGCAGACCTGTTTCGTGTTAATCTATCAGAGAGTAGAGCTTGCAATTGTGGTGCTCCGGTGGAAGATGCTAACCATTTCTTCCTAAAATGTCCAAAATTTGTCATTTGCCGTTTTGATCTGAAGAAAGACTTTGAACTATCAAAAGTTCAGTTAGACATTGATACAATTCTTTACGGCAACCCTGCTCTGCCAAATACTATCAATGAAAATATCTTTAGACATGTGCATAAATACATTGTACGAAGTAAGCACTTCAATTAATCAATAATATGTCTCAATATTATTATGTCCATCCATTACGTCCAATCATTATTGTTCATTATTGTTCATGTTTCTGATGGGAGCGGGAGGTAATAAGTTACATAACTTGTGCCCAATCCATTTCAACACTGAATAAAATATGTTAAAACAAACAAACAAAACCACGTTTCAATGGTCTGATAACATCAGGAGTAAAAACTGGGCTCACAGAATACAAGTGTTCCAGGAGGAAACAACATCGCCCACTTCACAACAGCACAACGATTGAGTCCCGCGTACTTGTAAGAACTGTAAAAACAGGAATAATGCGTAAAACTAAACTCACTCGCTAACAGTACCTAACGAATCATACTTTCAACTAATCGCTAGTCATCTGAGACACGACCCGTGAAGGTGTTGGTTAGAATTGATCTTCAGTAACCCATGCTTGTCGTAAGAGGCGACTAACGGGATCGGGTGGTCAGGCTCGCTAACATGGTTGACACATATCATCGTATCAAATTGTTAAGATCGATGTTCCTGCTGTTGATCACTGGACTGTCTGGTCCCAGACACGATTATTTACAGACTGCCGCCATATAGCTGGAATATTGCCTAGTGCGGCGTAAAACTCAACTCACTCATCTGAGACACTGTGCCCCAGTGTTAACGTGGATACACGTTTAGTTTTACGCCGCACTCAGCAATATTCCAGCTATATGGCGGCGGTCTGTAAATAATCGAATTTGGACCAGACAATCCAGTGATCAACAACACGAGCATCGATCTGCGCAATTGGGAACCGATGACATGTGTCAAACAAGCCAGCGAGCCTGACCACCCGATCCCGTTAGTCGCCTCTTACGACAAGCATGGGTGACTGAAGATACATTCTAACCCGGATCTTCACGGGTCCCTAGCCCTGTGAGCACGAAAAAAGGCTAACATGAAATATATATTGTCAAGAATAATGACCAGTATCCAATTGCCCAAAACGATCTCAGCGGTAACCTCGATACTTTAACATTGGCGGGGCGGTGGTGTAGCCTAGTGGTTAAAGCGTTGGCTCGTCACGCCGAAGACCCGGGTTCGATTCCCCACATGGGTACAATGTGTGAAGCCCATTTCCGGTGTCCCCCACCGTGATGTTGCTGGAATATTGCTAAAAGCCGCGCAAAACCTCACTCACTCACTCACTCACTTTAACATTGGCTTAGTACCGTTGTAGCACCAAGATCGCTCTGTGAGCCCTCGTCCAGGTAAACCATTGGTGTTTCCGTTGTGGGCCTAGATCTGGAGGAGGCACACAACAGATCTGGACTGGGCTCCTGAACTTCCATTGGAATATTTACGGTGTACCCATAAAAATAATTTTGTCCCTATTTTATGGGAGTTTGCTTGAACCATCATGCAGTGTTAACGTATTGTCATGAACCAATGTTACTACTTCCCCTGACTCGTCTAACATCGTGGCGGAGTGCAATTAGCACGGACTCAGGGGACCTGTCGCTTTGACCCGGCGTGGACGCGAAGGAGGTGCGTGACCAACATTGTCAAGTAGATTAGTTTATGGATCACTAAAGAATGACCGCTTTGCCGTGTAAAAGGGAACATTTGTCCATGGAGAATGGGACAAGGTAAATGTACACGTGTACGTTACAGGTGACTAACGCAGGCCCTGTACGTTGAACACAGTACATCATAGAACTCACGTCCATTGCGAGTAAGGGACCGTTCATAATTTATGGCCAGGGGAGGTGATGATTTTTATGGAGAAGCATGTACAATGTGAATGAACCCCAAAAAAAAATAAATAAAAAAAAAAAAAAAAAATTATGTACAAAATCAATGACCCCCTTTCCAATAATTTCTAAGCATAATTTTAAACATACTTGTATGTACAAAATTGCTGACCCACCCCACCCCTAGTACGTGTGTACAAATTGATGCCCCCAGGTCCCCAGAACAAAATGGGTGACCCCACTTAAAATCATCATCATCACACACCCTCTTTTCCCTTCTTCCTCTTCTCCCTCCCCCAAAAATTTAAATTTAAAAAAAAAAAAAAAAGCCACAAATTATGAACGGTACCTGAAGTGAGTGAATGCTGCTTTACGCTTTGCGATTTTTACAGTTATACCAAAGCCTGTAAAATTATCACCTGGTCAGATCGACGCTTGAATGCATTAGCTGAGATTTTCGCTGTCGTCCTCGTGGTTTGGTAGACTGTCAGTTTTACCTGAACTCATGGCGAAGCATGGAAATTATCCTTAACGGTATCATCACCAACCCATGTTTGTCGTAAGAGGCGACTAACGGGATCAGTTGGTCACACTTGCGGAACTGGCTGATGCATGTCACCGTATCCCAACTGCGTAGATCGACGCTGATGATGTCAATCACTGGATAGTTTGGTCTATACACCATTATTTACAGACCGCCGTCACACAGATGGACTTTTGCTGAGTGCGGCGTTAAACAACAGGCGAGCCTAGAACCTGGAAACACTGGTACGTAGCCTCGGTTGTTCTAAGGAAGAACAGGTCCCTGGTGCCCCATGACAGCTCGCCGTACAATGTTAGACTGTACAAAAAGTATTCTGGGTTGATAACATTGCTACTACGCCTGGCAGTGGAGTTGGAACTTGAATGGTGACCGGAGACCGGAAAGCAAACATCAATGATTCGATCTTCAAACCTAAGTTTTCAGGTTTAGTGATGTGAGTGAGTGAATGAG